ATTGGAGCCTCATCCAGGCCTGTTCCTTGCCTTCCCCCTAGCCCAGTATTCACAGGGCACCAGTTCACCAACAAACACAGAGCCTTCCCCACCCCAAGCAGCAGCTTCCCACACACAGCATCCATAATGGTACACTTTTAACAGTCTCCATCTACCTGCCAGGCCACCCCCACCAACCCCCTGCTCCCATTTTAATGCCATTCCTTGGGATGGAGCAGACTGGATGCTCAGAGGAGCAATGCTGTGATGCTGGATAGTTGCAAGACGCACGACTGGGACAGTGTTGATATGTTTTACTTCAGCTCCAGTAGTGTGTGAAGGGATATATCACAGCAAGCAAAGTGCTCTGGAGATGTGACAGCTGCTGTCTGGAGATGTGACAGCTTGCTCCCATCCCCTCCCAGGGATCCTTGGATGGGAAGCAGATGAGGTGGTGACTGGACCCTTTAGACATGAAAGAGGGCCCTGTATTTGGTTTCTGTGGGCTCTGGGCAAGCCCTGGGGCAGCAGAGTGCTATTCCTGCCCCGGAGACTGTGATGTGGATGGTGATGATGGTGTAAGCAGGACAGCTGTAGGATAGGGCTGGTCCTGCTCCCTTCCCTTCCCTGGGCTTTGGCCATCTCACCAGCTACACCTCTGGGGTTGTTCCCATCCTCAAAGGGCATCCAAGCAGCCATGCTCCTCTGGCCACTCTAGGCTGTGATGCTTGGCATTTTTGGAGCCATTCGCTCCTCCCAAGCCCGGCTCTGGGTCCCACATCAGGAAGGACCATGGCTTGATGACACCTCACACCTACCACCTCCTCCAGCTGTCAGCCAGCTCATTTCATATGATGCAATCCAGGATGCTCTGTCATGGCTTTCCCGGACACCTTTGGGCAAGTCCTCAAACCTCTTCCAGCCCAGTCACCTCCTCCCCTTGTTTCCAGCACTCCTTTAGCAACACGATGCCAGCCTGTCATTTTGCAACACCTGCCTGTCATTTCGCACCGTGCATGCACCGAGGAGCACGGTGCCACCGCGGCTTTGCCGGCCTCTTTGCCAAAAGCCCTTTGCTGCAGGACCCATTCCCACCTTGGCACGGCCAGATTAAGCTGGTGCCATCCAGGATTTACCGGAGGGATAGGCAGGGAGCAAAGTCCCCGGCCCAACCACGTGCTGCCGGGCGGGTTCGGCCCCGGCACATCAAAGTGCCGGGGCAGTCTTAACTGTGATCCAGACGCTCCCTCCCATTTCCTGCTGGATTCCCGTCTCGCTCCGTGCCCGCATCAGCAAAACAGAGTGCAAAAATAGAGGCCGGGCTTTACCATAACACAATAGTAAATTGTTCCCCGGAAAGGTCACTGGGGCGGCTGAGAATAGCTTCAAGATCAGGGGAAAAGGAATGTCTACCGGGGGGACAAGTTTGACGGTGCCTGCTGGACACCCCGTCAGTGGTGCAGGTCCGTCCTCCCGAGCCCCTGCAGCCTCAGGGCATCCTCATCCTTCCCCACCCACCCCCAGCCCTGATGAGCTGTGGGGCTTTCCCCTCACCCCGGGACCAATTTTGGGATGGAAAAAAAAAAAAAAAAAAAAAAAAAAAAAAAAAAAAAAGTGAGAATAAAGGTGAATGGAGAGGCAGGAGGACCAGAGAGAAAGAGCAGAGGTGGGAGGAGAGAGGGGATCCTGCTTGCTGCTCATCTCCTTGCTGTGTGTGACAGTGTGGTGTCCCCTGGGCATCACTGGCCGGCTGCAGCCTTTGTGCGGCGGTGGGAATGTCAGGGATGAGCCCCTGGATGAAGAGCATATCGAGCAGTCCCAGAGAGCCATAAATTACTCCCTCCTGTTGTCACTGGCCTGTCGTAGCGAAGAGGAGAAGCTTTCTCATCGGTTGCCAGGGTGGGAATGTTTGGGTCCTGTCGTTCCTGTGAGCATATTTAATTCAATTATGTGGGAATGCCCTTAATGAAGCAGGTCCTTGCTCCTGGCTTCAGCAGTGTTCCCAGGCAGGGAAGCCAGTGCAGGCTGCCCTCAACATGGCTTTGCCAGAAAGGCTGTAATTAAAACCAGACAATGAGGCTTGAAAATAAAATCTACCCAAATTTTGGTTGGTTATGGGGGTTTCTTTGTTTGTTTCTTGCACATCCCTTGCACCTTCTCTTTTATTTATTTCAATTTTATCCTAAAGCTACTTCCTCTCTGTTCTCATTCCCCAGTGTCATCCATACAATGGCAAGGGAAATTTTCTGCCACTGAGAACCTACCACCAGGTTCCTGCGACACATTAGAAACACGGGTGAACAAAAAATACCCTTAAACACACCTGTTTCAAGCTTGTAAAGAAATCACTATTTGCCAAAAGGTTTCCTGCACCACAGACCAGAACCCCCATCACCTTGTGGCACCACCAGTGAGAAATGGTGGCAATGCCAAGGGCAATGCCACCCACAACACCCTCCTGCTGCGCTGATCCCTTCTGTGCCGTGGAAACCAGGGCTCTAAGGTGCTTTTCCCAACTTTCCTTTCTGTTTTGCATGAACAGAGGAAAAAAAAGAGGTTGGGTTGGGGGTTTTCCCCCATGTATTTGAATCCACAGAGCAGCGCACATCACCATTTGTAACACAACACGACTGTGAAAGAAATTACCATTTGATGAGAAATGAATTAAATTTTCCACCAGAAGATGAGAATGAGAAGGGCTTCTGAAAACTACTTTTAAAAATAAATGCAAAGGCAGGTGAATATCTGCTACCTTCTGTGAAATATGCATCTTGGTGGCAGAGCAGCAGCAAGGTCCAGATGCTCTGGAGAAGAAGATAAAGGAAGAAGGATACTCTTCTCAGCATGGCCAGCATAAAGCCACCAGCCACCCAGATGGGGACAGAACCCCGAAGAATGTCCCAGCACAGCAGCGCTCACGGTCTCCCCACCACCAGAGTCAATCAGGAGTGATGCACATTGGCCATCCCACCAGGGAGCAGGTGGCACTGGCAAACTCTCATCCCTTTCCATCGGTTATGGAGCTTACATATGTGCCCAGAGTGGTTTGAAACCTTCACCTGGAGGATGTTTTTCCTTTTGCTGGTGGCAAAAGCCGTGTGGCCATGAAGGACATTTTAACTGAAGGAAGAAAAAAAGCAGAAGGGGGAGGTGGAAGCAGAATTGCCCCGGTGATGGAAGGAGGGAGGGAGAGAACCAGGAGGTGGGAGGCAGAGATAACCAGTGGCTGAGCTATCAGCTCGTGCTGGGCTGGCAGCAGGGCGAGACGGGTTAAACCAGCTGTGCAGCCCTGATCTCCCAGCTCCAGATAAACACCCAACAGCCACACACTGCCCCACACCTGCCCCGTGCCTGGTCCCAGTGCCTGGGATGAAACCAGCCCTGTCCTGGCTGCAGGGGCTTTGCTCAGCCTGGTTGTCAAGGGGTGCCCCATGTCCCTAGTCCGGGACTGCACCTGGGCAGGGCTCCCTGCACACCCAGGTTGGAGGTTGAAACGGGGTCCCCTCTTTCACACAGGGGGAAATGACACCCAGAAACTTTAAAAGCAAGAGTTGGCTGCTTGTCTGCTGTGGAAGAGGCTTTAGCAGCTAAACTTTTGGAGGCGATGCTTTAAGAAAGCCGAGGATGCTCTAAAAGGCTCTGTTTAAATAAGCAATGAGTCTGAAATTCACAGAAATTAAAGACAAAAAAAATACTTGAGTTACCATTCCTGGTCATCTGCTCTGTGCTATTGGTATGGTGTTGACCACTAGCAGCAGCGTGGCATTTTATGTGTATATATATATATAATATTATATTATATATGTAATATATATAATATATATAAATTAATATTATATATATAATATTATATATATATTAACATACACATGTTCAATGGACTACTTAGCCTGTAAACACTCCCTAATTAATGTTATATTTTTTTTAAAAGTATTTGTGCACATGGCTGTGATAACTTTAAAAAAAAAAAAAAAAAAAAAAAAAGAGGAATTGCAGTCACTGCCTATTAAATCATGGCCGAATTGTCAAAGGAAGTAGCACGGCTCCCCAGCAGCCCCTTCCTTGCACACTCACCCTCGCCAAAAGGAGGGAAAAGGCCACTGGAGCCTTTGGGGGACCTGCAAATAACGCGCTGGGGGTAACGCTCGCCTGCGGCGGGGGCATTGCTTCATCGCCCGCCTTCCTTCCTGCCGGCCCCGTGCGCTCTTCCTCCCGCCTCTCTCTCTGAAGAAGCCCAGCCCAGGCTGGACGGTGTGAGTCAAGCAAAGAAAAAAAAAAAATAATACGTCCTTTTGCAAGGTTTTTACTGCCTGATTATGACTTCTGGTGGCTGGGAAGGGGCCACTCTGGCATCTTCATCCCGCAATGAAATACTAAAGTAGTGATGGGTTCAAGCGATGAGGTGGGACAGAGGCAGACAGCAAGTGGAGGCTGCTTTGTAAAACTTTATTTAGAAATATTCTTGATATATTCATTATATATATATATTTATATATACACACACATTACAACAAATGTGTTTTCTAAATAGCACGTCCACAGAGGGTTTAGACTCAGGGTACCAGGTCTGGTTACTTCATTTCTGCAGAAAAAATGCAGAAATCCGAAGGGAGCGTGGCAGAGAAAGGGAGGGGGCTGAAAAAAACCCAAAATCGTAAGGCAGGAATTCACTCACACGGTACAACATTGCCCCAGAGCGCCGCTTCCGACAGAAACAGGGGATGATGGTCGGCACAGCGAGAGACGAAGCAGAGAGGAGGAGAGGTGGGCAGAGGAAATGTACCATTCAAATCACAATTAAGTACAACTGTACATACCCCAGGAGACCTTACAGTGCGCTCTGCCAAGGGCTACGAGCAGGCACGTGTGTGTGGGGGGGGGGTGTTTGAGGGTGCTGCCAAAGTTGTACCATTTTCCCAACTATTCAGCTACCAAAAAAGATTTAAACAAAAAATAATAAATTTGTGCGGAATGAGGAATTTCTAGATGTTGGTGGTTTGTTTTTTTTTGTCTTGCAATAGTTTAATAAAAAGGTTGTAAAGGGTTATTTTGAGACCAAGAATGGCTTTACCTGTGTGACAGCATCCCCCTCTCTCCCCAGAGGGTCCCCTGGCAGCCCTCAGTGCTTGCCTTTCCTACCCCTGGCACCAGTACCAGCCCAAACCTCTTCCTCAGTGTCACTTTGTCACCTGCCAGCACCTCTTCCCTGGCACAGCCCTGCAGGTAACCCTTTCTAGTAAAAAAACCCATGCATGGACAATCCAGACCCAGGAAGTTTTCCTCCTTTTCCCCAGTTTAAGATGGGGGAGATTGGTGCGTTCCAAGATTTGGGGTCTTGGAAATCCTTACATGGGCCAGGATCCCTTCTCAGGCAACTAATTCCACCTAATAAGCCAAGCCACACGCCAGACTCTTAACTATTATTTACAAAGAGGCATCAGAACCCGGCAGGGATGGAAATGACAGAGCTCTGAAATAAGCCTGGATGGGCTTGCAGACACCCACTTAAATTCTCTGTGTTCCTTTGTACCTCAGCATCCTTGGGAAGAAACAAGTGAGGTGGAAGGTGTCCCCACTTAAAAAGATTTATCCCCTTCCAAAGGATGTTTGTGTGTGGTTTGTTGGTTTTGGGGCTTTTTTTACTGTAGCATTGTAGAGATTTCTGTGCCTTCTCTGCAGAAGGAGAGGATGGACTTGGGGCAATTGCCCCTTCAGGCAATGGGTGGGTGGGTGGGAAATGATGGGATTGATGTGGTGATAGCACAGGGTGGTCCTCAGCTCCCAGCCCCCACAGCAGCAGCCTCCTGGTCCTCAGTCCTTCTGTTTCCCAAACACCCTCCCGGGGGGGCAGCAGGGATCAGAGGACCATCTCAGTCACAAATATCAACTTTGCAGCAACCTGAGCACTTGGGAATGGAGGCTAATCCCACCACTGTTGTTAGTGCTTCCCCTGCAAGGTTCAGTCTCATCAGTAAGGACCTCCCTAAGGCCAGAATAAATCCAGCACTATGGTCCATACTGTGGGCATTGGCACAGCTGAACCACCACCATTTTCACACAATAAAATCAGAAACTTCAAAGCATACCATTAAAACCCTTTTATATTCCTATGTACACGCACACTGTTGATACATCACTGACTCCTTTTGCCTTTTTGTTGCTTTTTGATCATAAAAATCCTCCAGTCCAAGGAGATACTCCACTAGTAAGTATTTTTTTCCCTTACCAATTCCGAAATTCATCTTTCTTGAGAGAAATTCTGGCCCTAAGAAACCACTGGGAAAGCTCTAGTAGACCACAACAGGCTTGGAGCTCACCTGCTGAGTGTTACCAGCAGAAGAATTAGGGACTGGGAGGGTGGCAGAAAACACCTATGTACCTTTTCATTCAATGGATACTGCATGACAGTGTTAAACAGAAGTAATCCCACGTCATAAATACTACAACCCCAAACAATTCAAAGTTAGGTAGAAGGGAAAGGAGGAAAGGGGAAGAAAAAAAGAAAAAAAAAAAAAAAAAAGAAAAAAAGAAGAGAGAAAGAAATAGTCTTAATCCTTTTAATAGTTCTTTTGCTGAGGGTATTTTTTCACCTCTTTAAAAAGATACAGACAAAAGCTCTTGGACAACAGGAACACGTGGCCCCAGCTCCTGTTCAGACCAGCTGTGTGTGCCACAGGCTGGAGAAGTGCTGCACTGGCATGATGCAGCAGTCTCCAGCACCACGTGGAGCAGGAAAGCATCGGTGGCCTCTGCCAGCAGTGAAAGAGGAGTTTCATGCCTCAACCAGGCGACTGTTTAAAAAGCAATGGTCATCAAACGGTCTGAAAGCCCTCTAAATGCTGGAGAGGCGCTGGCCACGTCTCCTCCCCCTCCTCAGGGTCACAACACGAGCAGTATGTACAATGAAGATGACTTCAATGCTTTTCTTCTTTGTACGATCACGTACCTAAATACTGAACGTCCATCTGGGTTGGTCTCGTCCTCAGCCAACGTTCCGGCCGCTCCGCCCCGGGCTGGGGAGAGCGGGGAGCCCGAGCTCCCGGGGAAAGGCAGAGTCACGGATCCCGCGAGCACAAGTTCCAGCATCCTCACGCTCGGGCCTTGCCTCTCCCCCTTGGTGCTTCGGGAGCAGTGCCAAGGTCATCACCGCTGCGCGTTGCCTTCTACGGGGAGGATGGCGTGGTGCAGGCTCCGCGTGTGCTTCGAGTCCAGCGTTTCGTGCTCTTCCGTGAAGCTGTCCGGGCTCGCCGCTCCGTCTAAAGAGCTTCCACAGCTAGAGTTAGGAGACAACATGTCCTGCAGGAGGTCTTCCTGGACTATCCCAGAGTCTTTGTTCACTTTGCCCCTTTGGTTTCCTTCTTCCTCCTGGTCGTTGAGCAGCTTGGCCAGGAAGTTGATGTACTTCATAGCCAGGCGCAAGATCTCGTTCTTGCTCAGTTTTTTGTCGGGCGGGTGGGTGGGGATGAGCTTGCGGAGCTCTGCAAAGGCTCCGTTGACATTCTGCTGTCTCCACCTCTCCCGGCTGTTGGTAAAAATGCGGCGAACCACCTTCGTGTGAGGACCTGGAATTCCAACCAGATAGAATTAGGAGCAGGGAATAACAGGTCAGGTTTACTTTGCTGAATAGGTCACTGTTTCCCAAATTGACTAACTGACTTATTCTAGTGACTGACATCAGCAAGGCGGTGAAACAAGAGTTTCCAGCTAACTGGAAGCTGATATGATGAGCTGAGATAGCCATAACTTCTGTTGAATCCAGTGGAAGGGAAAAATGGAATTGCATCTCTTTGGGTGTCTCCTCAGATGTGTAAATTTACCTCTCCAAGGAGGAAGGCTTAAGCCATGACACGTGTGCAGAAGGCTGCTATGCTTTTAGGGTATCTCAGCTCATTAACAAGGGTAACTCATCAACAAAGGTCCTATTGAAAGCTGATCTCACTAGATAGTTTTATTTTGTATCGCAAAAGTGTCTAAAGGACACATCATCGAGACAGGAGGAAATTGGCTTGAGCAGAGGCTTTGACAACTCTAAGACCCAGAGACCCTCCCTGCTGCAGGCAGGATCCAGTGCTGATAGAGATCATAGGATTGCCACCAGCCCTCTGGGTGTTTTGTATGAAACAGGATGGTGGGATTCGCCCCATAGCAATGAGGACAGGTAGCAATGTGACCCACAGAGTGAAGGCAGTGTCCTTGCTGGAAGGGTGATCATGAGGGAGGATGAAACAGTTTCACAGCTGAACCGAGGGCCTCCTGCTCTCTCTACATATCACTGCCACAGGGCAAAAACTCCCTCTGACACTAACTGGAGAAGTGAAAACATTGTTTAATTACGTGTGAATTCCAATTAAATCCCTGACATTTTACAGCCGTATTTCTGACAGAGCATATTACACAGGATGGACAAAACACACCAATTCTCCTTTCAGATCACCAGGGTAACTCCTCTTGCCTTGAGAAAAACATTCCTTCTGTGCTAGAAGGGACCCAAAAGCACATCTACTCAAAATATACTGCGGTACAGGAGCGACAATTCTGTAAATCAGGATTGCAGGTCCTTGGGTCCATGGAAACCAGCTCACATAAGGGGGCACTACCATAATATGCTTTTATTATTACAGCCTTTCCATCCTCATCTCCAGGAGACATCAACAGTGGAAGGTCACATCAATCTCATGGAAATCTGGGAGACTGACCATGGCAGAAACTCCCAAAGGGTGGGAAGCATCACATAAAATGAAAATCATCACAGAATGTGAAGCAAAGACTTGCAGGTAACACATCAGTGAGTTGTACCCCAAAGGACTGTGGAATCCCCATCCCCACGGTCTCTCCCTTGTATTCCCCACATTGAGACACTTGCCTAATTACTCCCTTCTGGAGGGAGCAAGTCCCTGGCTGTGGGAAGCAGTTTAAGCTACAGCTCTGCCATCACCCAGTGAAACCAGCACCCTGTGGGACATTTAAACATCATTATTCTTGCCTAGCAAAACTCTTGGCTGCCCTGACTGTGACAGAGCAGCTGAACAAATGTGACTTTGGAAGCATGCTACTAGGCTGCACCTCGACAGATTCCACCTTCCACAACACAAGAAGAGGAATCCCACATTCCAGATGATTAAACACCATCACACTTCACTCCTTTCAGGGGAAACTGAGTCCCTTCAGTCCAGCACATCACACAGAACACCCTGCACTGCAGGGTTTGTATGCGGACACATTCCCAAACAGCCAGGTTAAAGGTGCCACCTTCTCCAGAGTGTGAGCAGTCACTTCTCCTTACAGAATGCTCAGGAGCAGGGAGGCCTCCAAAATCACAAAGAGCCTCTGGAATAAGCTGGGGGATACAGAAATGAGAAACACATCTTCTCTGACCTCTAAGATTCCAGTCTGATGCTTTAATAAAGGTAATATTGACCCCTAAACAGCACATAATGCCCTTTGTATGAATTAATTTGCAAGAGCTCATGGAAAGGGAAGGCCTCTTGTCCCTGATGTGCACAGTCTGCTGTGCTACAGGATTGTGGTGGGGACCAAGGGGACCTCAACAGCACTATTAAGAAGGCATTGAAGAATGTGCTATAACCCACTACAATAATACAACAATTTTAACACTTCAATGCTCTTTCCAGAAAAGATAAAGAAACCAGCCTTGAATCCAGAAAAAGAAGTAGCTTAAAACCCATATACTCCCATTAGGTTATAAGAAAAAAAAACACATTGGATATTGTTTATTAAAAACCAAACCAAAACAAAAAAAGACCCCAAAACCACCTCAAGAGACTTCCAGTCTTCACAGGCTTCAAACATATGTCTGTGTTCACTGAAAACTGACAACTAAAAGGCATCTATTCATAAACAGGTCAGAAATCAGAAAAAAAAGACTTGTTCATTTTCATCCAGGGGCACCCAAACCAAGCTCCAGTATATAACACAAATCCTGACACCACTCATATTCTTGATTCCTGCATGAACTGAATTAACAATATCTTTTGGAAAGAGGTCAGGTTTGGACCAAAACATGTCAAGCAATGGAGAAAATTAAAATGCCCCATAGCTGTGTTATAATAGAAGATCTATTTCTTATAAAGAAATTTGCCTCACAATTAATTCAAGCAGTCAGATGAGAATTTTTGCCTGGATTTTGTTCCAGTTGATTGACTGATGCTTTTAAAATTGTAATTAGAGATCTAAGGAAAACTAATAAAAAGATGAGCTTCCAAAGTTCCAGGATATACTTTTTTACTGATACTTTTTCACGTTTTTATCTCCATTTATAGTTATTTTTAAAGAAGATATTAAATGCAACGAACTTTCCACAAAATAGATAAATGAATAGTTGCAAAAAAAATCCGCTCATTTCCTTACAGAGCAAACCAAACACCAAGTGCTCGGCAAGACTTTTCTGCCCTTCTGCAGCTCCCAAGGGCTGGGGACTCTGAGGAGTGATGCTCCTGTGTGCCACAGATGTCACCTGGCAGGTGACCACCAGAGCGATAAGCAAAGCCCATCAGACCACACAGACGCCTCAGCATGGGATGTACATTCCTGCAAATTGCTCCTGTTTAGACGGCATCGTCTGATACATATTTTTCTCCCCCCAAAAAATGTTGAGCCCCGTCTTGGAAATTCACATGAGCCAGAACTTTCAGGATTGGGCCCAATCTGTACACCTGAATCAAAGAACATATCCAAAAACTTGGTTGCAACCAAGTATGTCTGTAATCCTTAACACCTAATTAAATAGCAAGTCAAAAGCTTTAGTCGGACAATGTGATTTGATGGACTTTTCACCGTAACCATTAAGCCCCAGAACTGAAAGCCGGACAAAAAGCCCTTCTTGTGCCAGGGCTGTGACATCCCCCTGTCCCACGGGACTCCGGTCTGAAAGGACCAGGAGAGCACAGAGTGGGGAGAGAGAGAGACTGATTAATGCAGATAATACCCTGAGTCCGTCATTTCGGGCTGTATTGTTTTAGAGTGATGTGGATTAGGATTTGATCTTAGATTAGCCGAGTAGAAGGCACAGCTAGCTAAAAAGAAGGAAAATAATTGTCCAGCAATTGAAACACAGTGTTTACAATTGCTAAAGAGAAAACACGTTTCAATGGATCTCGTGTGTACGGGCTGTTAACTCCGCAGATGAACGGGTTGGCCTTCCACGTGTAAATTGTTCTTGCGAACACCCCTTTGCGTGGGCAGCGCTGCCGCCTGCACGCCGCATCCCGCACCCCACGCCGGCTGCCGGGGAGCCGGCAATGGATCCTGCACTGCCTTCTCCCTCCTTTCCATTCTCTGAAACTATCCCGCGGCTCCGACAGGAATGCCCATGCCTGGGATCTCTGCTCAGACACCAGGCTGTCACTCGCCGTATTTGCTCCCGCGCTCTGCCACGGGATATTTCTCCACGGCAGACAGCAGCAAGGTGTGGATGTACACAGAATTAAAATGCAAAAGGCAATCCCATTGCGCCCTTGCAGACCTCAGCACAGGGTTAGCTCTTTGCTTCCAGGCAGTTTAAAGGCAGTTTGTCCTTTCCGCCCAAGGCTGTGGTCTGCATTGCGAATGTCTCCTGGCTGAAAGGGTTTACAGACACAGCATCTCACTACAGTGGCCCTGATCTGAACTTCAACAAAGACTTACATTTAGGGTCTTCCTTCGGATTTGATCTCTGAGGGGTGTAATTAGCCATTACACTGAACTGCTTCGCTGGGTGAAGTCAAACCCACCGAGCACGCTGCTGGGCGTTAGTGGGGACTGGTGTGGGCTCCACTATCCCGAACCTTACCGCAGAGCCACCCCTGACTCCCTAGACGTCCTATTCGCATTTCACGGTTTGGGGCTTTAGTCCTTTTGTTATTTGTTATTTGGGGGTTTAATCCCGGAGTATGGCGCCGTCCAGCAACTTGCCCCCCTCAGCAGAAGGGGATCCCCCTAAAGACCTGGCGCAGGGGCGAAATGCTCTCACCGTCGGTGATCTCCATCTCGTACGGAGACGGTCTCCGCTTCACCCGGTTGCTGCCGTACATGGAGAAGGAATCCGGTTCGCCGAAAAACCCGCTGCAAACGAAAGGCAGAGAGGCCGTGAGGACACTCCGGCATCCCCCCGCCCCGGCTCCCGGTGGGGGGAGGCAGCGTCCGGGGGCAGCTCGGGGTCGGCGGGAAGCAGAGCTGCTCCGTGACCTCGGAGCGAGCTCACGGCTCACGAAGCCGAGCCCTGGGTCGTGAGGCGACACGACACGCGGCCGCCTGGGGACACGCAGCGAGGGACGCCAGCCCCCCGTGAGCAGGGGGATGTGGGCAGCTTGGAATATCCGGGCTGGAGGCTCCAGGCAAAACCCACCCGCATCCCCGCGGCTTTGTGTCCTCCCGCAGGCGGGCGCGAACGTCCAGCCGGGCCGGGTCCGCACCGGGTCCGTCCCCGCACCCCCCCCGGGCTGGCCCAGCCCCTGCCAGAGCCTTTGCTGTCCCTTGCGCTTATTTGAGGGACTCGTCGGAGAACAGAGAGAGTCCGAGGAGCTAAACCAGCTCTGGCCCGTTTACTGACGGACTCCCTTGCTCTGCCCGGGACATTTCTACTGTGTTTTTTTTTTTTTTTTCTAGGAATGACAGTTTTTCGTTTCCTCTTTTTTTTTTTCCCCCCCCTCTCTGCCCTTTTCCCTTTCTTCCTTTGCAAAGTTGCATGCAAACCCGCGATGACTAAGCCCCGAGCCCCGCTCGGAAGAAGAGATGCTGCAGCTCCCCTCTCTTCCCCGCACCTCCTTCCCTCCCTCCCCGGCACCGCATTCGAGCGGGGCACCCCTCGGGGAGACACGGACCTGTTGATGGTGGCCAGCGGCTGGCCCAGGTTGTAGAGCATGGCCCTGCCGTGGGGCTGCAGCGGGAGCGCGGGGGGGCTCAGCTGCACCATGCGGGCCTCGCAGGCGGCCTCGGCGGCGCGGCACGGCTCGGCACCCGGCGCTCTCTGCATCGCCTCTCCCGCCGCCTCCCGGCCTTTTATGTCCAGGGAGCCCCCCCGGCGCACCAGCTCGATGACGGGCACAGGGGCGGCGGGGGGCCCGGGGGAGGGCCGGCCCGCCTCCTTGGACGCCCCGTTGAGCAGCAGCTGGGGGTCCGCCGGCGCCTCCATGCCCCCGCGGCTGCTCTCCGGCTCGCTCGTGGTCTCCGCTTCCGAGTCGTGCCGCCGGGGGGGGCGGGCATCGCGGGGGTCACTGGGGGGCGGCGGGGCGGGCGGCCTGTCCATCGTCCTGCGGAGAGAGGCAGCGGTGAGGGGCGGCCCCGCTTTGGGGAGGGGGGTTTACCCCTCCGCAGGTACCGCCCCGACGGGGGTGGCCGCTTCGGGGCTCGGACTTGGCCGGTGAGAAACGGGGGGAGTTACAAATCACCCTAAAATCATTTAGAGTTTGCTGGCGGCACCGGGGGGTCTGCGGGTCCACCCCGCCCGAGCCGTGCGGGGCCGTGACGTCACGGAGCGGCCCTGCCGTGACGTCACGGAGCCTGGCGGAGCGGTGCGGCACTTTTGACGTCCCGCAGCGCCCCGGTCCCGCAGGACGCACCACCGGACCCGATCCCCCATCCCCCGGTACCCGCGGAGCGGTGGCACTGTCGGGGCGGCCGGTGCAGCAAGAAGGGCTCGGCCAGCGCCCGGCGCACCGAGTGAAATTATGCGGCCAAATGATGGAGGAGGCACAGCGCGCGCCCCCGCTTTTTTGCGGGGTACTTCTCTCCGCATCGGGGGCCCCGGCGGTGTTTGCCGACCTGCGGAGTCAGCCCGACCGCGGCCCGGACTGCCGGCAGCGGCCTCAGCCTCAAGAGTGGCCCCTTTTCCTCCCATGTCTAGTTTTCACTATTATTATTATTCGTAAAACAGCGAAATATACCCGAAACCACTTTTTGGGGGAGAGGGGGTTAAACCAGCCCCTAACGGAGCCAATCCCCCCGCGCATTCACTACAGCAGGAAGGAGGAAGGGGCCCGGCCGCGGACGCACACAGCATTGTCCCCCTTCTCCCTTAGAACGAATGCTGTCGCGACAGGGCACCTCGCGCCGAGGGCAGGCAGCGATATGGAGATTATTGCCATGCTTTTTCTCCCACATATCCCCTCGTTCGCTTTCAGATGTTTTGTTCGTTTGTTTGTTTGTTTGGTTTATTTTTTCCCCATATAAATAGGGAGCTTCACGGAGCAGGGAGCTGCCGCCCATCCTTCTCGCTCCTTTGCCTTGGGTAATTTTTTTCCCGTTTTTGATGGGCTGAATTGCGACAGAAATCCCATTTTTTTGCCATATCTCACCATCTCTCTGAAAAATAAAAAAAACCCCAGCCACCCGACATAAAGCACAAGCTCCCTGCCTTCCCTCCAACCCTCTAGAAAGAAAAATCTAATTGCCTATTCCGATATTGTATAGGAAGAGATTACTCACATGTGTCATATTTAAGTAGGGACACCGCAAGTCTCTCCTGTTTCAACAAAAGCGCTCTCAGTGTCAGGCTGAATTTACTCCTCCCACCTCAAGGTACTTACGACTTTACAGAGAGGAAGGACACCCGCATCGGGATAAAACTGCTAAATCCTGGGAGGAAGAGAAGGGGGGGGAGAAAAAGAGGAGAGGGTGGATCTCGTGGGTCCGGATTGCCAAAGATCAGTGGAGAGAGAAGGGTGCAGGGGAGAGGGAAGGAGGGAACAGCACCCCGGGGCGGCCCCTGTGACAGGGGACAGCGGCCACCCCCGGGTCCCCCCCCCGCCGCCGCCGGGAGCCACCGCCTCGCACAAGGGGCCACAACGAGCGACGGGCACGGCCTGGCGTGGAAAAAAAAATAAACAAGAAAAAAAAAAAGGCGTGAAAAAAAAAAGGCCCTAGGTTTGGGGTGAATTGGGCGTTTTTTTGGATACATTGCAAGCCCGATCTCTCCGGGAGGAAATCCCAGACGGGCCCGGACACGGGGTTGTTTTTCTCCCAGTGGGCTCGCACGAAGCGGCCGCGGCGACGGCGTTTCTCCCGCGTCCGGCTGGAAAATTTAATTCCTAAAGGGGCAAATTAAATTCCTCAAGGGGCCGGTTACCAGGCGCGCTCCCGGTCGAGGAGCCGCGACAGCCGGGACCGGGCCGGCAGCGGGGTGAGTCCGCTCCCCGCCGCCGAGCAACAGGAAGGCGAGGCCGGTTCCCCCCCCCGCCAACGAAATCACGAAAAATAAGGCTTATCTCTTTGTAAAAACAAAAAAAAACAAAAAAAAACCAAAAAACCCAATCCCGATGGCGTCTCCCCCCGCTTTCGTTAAAAACGAAATTCATAAACCCGCACAGATATCTGCGGTATTTTGCCCTAAATTGGGATGGTTTCGTTTGGAGAACGGAGGGGGGGGGGGGGGTAATAATTCCCCGCCTGCTCGTTTCTGCTCCGCAAAATCCTTTTGTTTTCCAGCAGCCGATCGGCAGGAAATTTCCAGCCCGAAAGCGCACCTCTCCCGCCGATCGTTTGTAGGGAAATCGCCCCAAAAAGAAGGGGTGAGAGGGAGCGGGATATGGGGGGACCCCCCTCCCGGGAAGAAGCGGTCAGACTCTGGCCGTCGGCCATGCCGTGTCCTGGTGTTTTTCCCTTGGGAGAAGCTGGGGGACCTGGGCCCAGTGGGTGCTTCACACCCGCAGCCGGTCCCCGGGGGTCCCGGGGCGGTGGGGGTATCGCACCCCACAATTTCAAAGGGGAAAGCGCGTTCTCCTCCTCACCCATCCCGCATCAAAGAATAAAAAAAGATTAAAACCCAGCGGCGGAAAAAGGTTTTGTGTTTTTTTTCCCTGCTTGCCTGCCTCTCACATGGGGTAGAAGCCCCCCCCAGAGCCCCCTCGCTGCCCGCCGGAGCCCCCCAAAACCCCATCCCGCTGCCCGCACTGCCCAGCTCGCTGCAGGGCCGATTCCTCTTTACTCACCATTTGCTTTTCATTGGGAAAAGTGAGTGGAGCCATTTTGTGGCCTACGCATCGTGGCTATATTTGTAGTAAGTGTTGGGTGGCTTCAGCTGGGTAGGCTCTAATTCCACATCACGTCCAGTTTCCTATTTAGTATGGAGAGCGGAACACTACTGCAATGTGGCCGAGAGAGATAAAACCCCAGCAGTGGCCCGCCTGCCCTGATAAGCTTCTAAACCCATTATTTATGAAATGATTCATTATTATTTGGCAATTTTATCGAAGGAAAGCGGAAAATTATTGCAGGGATATGCATAGGAATAACTCCGGAATGCATGCCTTCTAGCTTTTTATGTGTGTGTGCTTAGATGCTCTTAAAAAGACACTGCAAAAAAAAAAAAAAAAAAAAAAAAAGTAATAAAAAATTGCACTGTGACTGCCCGCATCTGAATAGTGATTCTTTATTTTAGTCCTCTTGGAGGTTATTATGCCCCTGTTTCCCCCCCTCCCTTTTTTTTTATTATTATTAAATATGGAACACCTACTCCGTTCTTAATTAAATTTAATGAGCCAAAATAAATTGTTGGAGATGCTGAGAGAGGGGAAGGGGTGTGTGCTGATTTGGGACGAGAGGAGGTAAATAAGCACATCTAGAGGAGATGTTTTGGAGAGAAGTGTCCCCATCCCCACCTTCCTCCCCCGTCCTGTGTGCTTTTTTTTATTATTATTAAATATGGAACACCTACTCCGTTCTTAATTAAATTTAATGAGCCAAAATAAATTGTTGGAGATGCTGAGAGAGGGGGAAGGGGTGTGTGCTGATTTGGGACGAGAGGAGGTAAATAAAGCACATCTAGAGGAGATGTTTTGGAGAGAAGTGTCCCCATCCCCAGCCTTCCTCCCCCCGTCCTGTGTGCTTTTTTTTATTATTATTAAATATGGAACACCTACTCCGTTCTTAATTAAATTTAATGAGCCAAAATAAATTGTTGGAGGTGCTGAGAGAGGGGGAAGGGGTGTGTGCTGATTTGGGACGAGAGGAGGTAAATAAAGCACATCTAGAGGAGATGTTTTAGAGAGAAGTGTCCCCATCCTCAGCCTTCCTCCCCCCGTCCTGTGTGTTTTTGCTAAAGGGCTGAACTGGAACGAGCTCCCCGTATTCTCTCCCGTGCTGGGGCGGGGGGAGTCCCAGCATCTTTGCGAGGCTGGGGGATGCTGGGGACTGGGAGCAGAGCAGGTACCCAGCCGGCACCTCACGCCCTCGAGAAATTTGGGATGTAAGCGGAGCAGCCTGGAGGAGAGGGATCTGGGGAAGGGGAGACAGGGCCCTGGGTCTCCCTGTAGCAATGCGGGGCAGCCAGAGGGGCTCGGGTCCGTCTGCACGCCCCGTCGGGGAAGGGGCTCGGCCCGGCCGCGGGGGTCTCCGAGCCCGGGTGGACAAGGACTCCCGGGCCTTCCCAAAGCCGCCGTGCAGCCGGAGCGGCTGCCAGGGACGGGAGGCGGGCGGTGCGGGAGTCGCAGTGCCCTGCGCGGGGGTCGCAAGGCTGCGGGAAGAGTGAAACCCTTCCCGAAATGCCAGAGGCTCCAGGCATGGAAAGAGGGGAGAAGGGGGGCCACTGTAGGGTCGCAGACCCCTTCCTCCGGACGCCCACGGGTAAAGCGGTCCTAAAGGCTCCTAAAGGGAGAGGTTTTTCGACAGCTCGGGGATCGGCCTGCACGGGAACAAAAAAATCAACGAAATCTCCCCCGGCGCGGGGTGGGAAGGAGGGGGCCCGGGCTGAGCGCCTCCCGGAACGCCCCCCGGTCCCTGCTGCGGGGTTTGGGCGAGGTGGCGGCCCCCGGCCGTGAGCGGAGCGCGGGGCTCGGGGGAGAAGCGGCGGTGCGGACCGGCCGCACCTGCCCGTGCGTGGCGGGGGCGGCGGCGGGGCTGGGGTGCGGGGGTCGCTATTGTCTCCCCGCCACCTGCACACCCTCCCGCAGGGGGGAAATGCCGGAGCTGTTATTCTTCCTTTCACTCCTTCCCCTCAGCCTCCCGCTCTGGACGCGGCCGTGGGAGAGGTTTCCCCAAGCTCCCCCCGCGGCACGGCCGGGGCCGGGGCCGTGTCCCGGCCGGCAGGAGCCCGCACGATGCCGGCAGCGTGAGTGGGGCGGCGGGGCAGGGGCGGTCACGACGCGCCGGAGAGCCCGCCGTGCCTCCCGCCAGGAAACACGACCATTTTCAAGCCGGCTCCTCTCACCAACAGGAAGCGTTAAAGATAGAACAGCCGGGGCTGGGCGGGGGAGATTAGGAAGCCGAGCATCTTCTGAGCACCGAGGGCCGCTGCGGGGCCATTCCCAGCCGTGCCGGTCCCCGCTGCGATGGGAGCCGTGGCCGAGCTCAACCCACCTCCGCCCGCACGGCCGTCCCACCCCGAGCCTGAGGGGACGTGTGGCACCTTTCCCTGCCCCTGCCCTGCCTCAGGTGGGCTTCCCGGCCCCTCACCACGCTTTCACTAGACAAGAGGTAGCAAGTCCGGCAAACAGAGTGGGGAGAACCAAAAAGACACAGAGTAAAGCAGTCAGTGATGCTCCGAGGAGGACCAGCACCTTTTAATCAAGCACTATAAAAATCTTTTATTATAATTAAAGATAGCTAGAAATCACAGAAGAAAAATAAAAAACCACCCCAAACCCAAAACAATAAAATCTTAAACTGTGCTGCCCCACCCCCATGTCATTCCCTTGTGAGCCAGTGCTTGAATTTGGGCCCCATTGCCCAGTTAACAAAGCCAGACCTGGCTTTCCATGTGTTTTTTACTTCAAACTGCAGTAGATGCTTCAGGAAAAAAAAAAAAGAAACACTCAGACATCTTGAAATTACTCAGCACCACACTATGAAAGGAAAATGCCGCTTTAGGGAAGGGTGGTTTTTTGTTGCTTTGGTCAAGTAAATTAATGTTTCGCTCGCTCAGAGGTTGCTGTCCAAGATTATATGATTTGTGTAACTTAATATAACACCACACCCTTGTCCTGAGCTGTGTGCAAGTAGTTTGGCTTTTGTTTTCAAATTGTTTCTAGCCCTCGAGCATTTGAAGAAAGTCTTTAAAATATTAACCAATACAACTGTCATCTTCCTGTGTTTCCAGACATTTTACAATAGGAAACAAAGAACAAAACCCTGCAACAATAGCTCAGAGGTATGAATTGCCTCATTCATCTCACTGGAATGTTCAAAAACATTAACTATTTTTTGACTGATTCAGCAGAAAATGTGCTGGCAGATAATAAGCTTATGCCTGATCCAGAGAAGATTCAGGGACTGAGAAAGGTTTTATTTTTCAGCACAGCAAAAGTAGCACCTTTCCTGAAAGGAAGCAAATATTCTTGTTGATGGAAGAGGCTGTGTGAGAGGAGAAATTCTGACATGGCTTAAAGGGAGCTGCTGCCTTCCTCTCTCTGTACTGGCTTTGAAATGGCACATGGCTTATCTCACCCCAATTCTGTAATAAATTAATTAGCAATTAGTGCCCAGTCAAACATACCATGAACTAACACTGCAGTCCTTCAGATTTGACTGGGAAAGGCCCAGGATTTTATAGGAGGTTGTTTTAACCGTTAGTTTAACAATCAGAGCAGGAAAGCCAAGGTCAGCACCACAGCCTGAACTGCTGTTGAGACAATGTCATCACTAAAACAAAGTTTGTTCCAGCGCCCATTAGAGCACGTTGATGTGCTACAGGCAGGGAGAAAACACATGGCTCAACCTGCCATCCTGAACTGCCCTCCCATCAGGAACGGTGGGAATGGGAGTGAATCACCACTTCCAGCACCGGTGTCTCATTCCCAGGACCAGGAGGTCAGCACAGGGCTGTGTTACACCACAGCCATGCATCCTAAGCCACGTCCTCAGAGGCACTGGCCAAAGGTGGGCAGAGCTGTCACAGCCAGCGCTGGGCACCCGGCAGGGCTCCAGCACCAGGGACAACACACCCTGACCCCAGAGAGGCCTATGACACCTGAAAACTGAACAAGAGTCAGAGTCTTAACAGAAATGGGCCTGTTAAACAATACATAATATTCCACAAGGTGAAGAAGTTGGTTATCAGCAGAAGGTTATGGAAAAGAGCTGTTTCATTAATAGACAGACTGCACTTGTATATTAACTCAGAACAAAGTAAATCTAATATTTTTGCTTACCCCGCCACCCAGTATCAGAATTCTTGAGTTCAGGAGCAGGTGAACCAGTGAACTTCCAGTTAACCATTCTAACAGTGACTGGGAAGCTGCATGTGTCTTAAATAAAGGCACCATCAGACAACTGAAGACTAATTTTTTTTTTAATGAAACCTTTGACATTTATAAGCAGTATGTAATCTTAAATAAATAGAAAACACGGAGGGGAGAGAAAAAATTCACAAAAAAAGTTTTTAAAAAGTGCTAGTTTCCCCCAATTTCCTTCAAAGATTTCATGATACAGAAAGTTACATGTGCCATTTTGACTAAATTCAAGATAATTTTATGCAAAGTAAAGCCACAGTTATACTTCCCCCCCCGACACAACCCCCACACAGTAATCCAACCATTTCATCAAATTTCTAGAAATTAGTGCTTTAGCTCTGCCCTGCTCTGCCATACATGGTATCAGTGGCTCACAGTTGGCACAAACATGTAAAAATCAGTGTTTTTAAAAAGTCAACAGAAAAACATTTAAGTAATCACTGTTAAAATTATATTAAGAGTATATCTTGGGCTCAGGTTGATTCAACTTTCATATGCTTTAAAATCACACCTAACTGTAAACAAAAGTGCACATGTGTCAGTGCTGACCTGCACTGCCTCAGCCAGGCACTTAGAGGTGGCTGTCCCTGACCTGGGCTGAAAACTCAGCTCTGCGAAGTTTTACACTGCTGCAGCAGAAGGACCTCTTCAAAGACAGCTTAATCCGTGGTTTCCTATAATCTTTTACAGAGAGGTCCCTCTGATTTGTAACAGTGGTTGCCAGCCATCTCGGGGGACGGTCAGAACAACTTTGGCAACTGCCTCAGCTGTTTCACATCAAGAATGGTGCCAACAGAATTTATGCTGTTTGACTGGTTTAACGTTTCGAGGGTTGGAGTACGTAGATTTCCAGGGAACACCTGAGTATCTCCGTCTTTCCTACCAGGTTGTTCAGTGAATTCAATCCTCCCAGGTAGCAATTTGGTTTTTGACTTTAAATCCTTTAAGAACTGAACTGAGTTCTCATCTGCTTGAGCTGCTCTGGGAGGAAAAATTTCATTTGCAATATTTCTTAATACAGGGTTGTTTAATTCTGGTGGAGAAGTCAACTCTCTGCTGTGACCTTTTAGGTGAAGGGGAAGTCTTCCATCAATTCTTTTGGATAATTCAGTCCAGTGGCTGAAGCTGTCCAACACAGCAGCACAGTTTTTGCCTGGCATGCTTTCTCTTTTGACAGTGCCAGAATTGCCATCTGGAACCTGCAGTTCCTCTTCGTCTTCACTGCTGTCACTGCCCTGTATCAGCCCATATCGCTTCATGTACTTCTTGGTTGCAAAGGACATATTGTTTGGTGAAATTAAGCTAAGACCTACCATGCTCCTGTCTGCATTTGAATGCAAGATGTCTTGGAAAGAGAAATCTGCAGGAGGATTTTGGCCTGAGCGACTGAGAGACAGTCGAGATAACTGGTTTTCACTGAGATACTTGAGTGCTATAGCGTTTGCTTCCATGCTCAGATCAACAACATTAGGAGTTAAGCCACACATGCTGACATTGGCAAGTGACATATAATTTAATCCAGGCACCACTGCTTCAGGATTTATGCACGCCAAGATGCTGAAATAAAGCATCAAAAAGTTAGTTTAGCATTACAGGGCAAGCATGAGGTTCACAATATAACAATTTTGCTCACTGTAATGATCTGTCGTTCCTCCTGAAGGCCACAGCTCCATCAGGCTGCTCAGCACCCAGACTGTACATTCTGTGTGTACTGAGAAGCAGCTACTCAACCCCACAGTATCCAAACACTGTTAGAGAATGGATGATATTCCCTTCTGATTCAATACAAAGTGCCCTCATATGAAGAACTCACCTCTAGCAGGTTTCAGAACTGGTTTTGGTTTTAAAGCAGGTTTTTCCTCAACAGTGAGGTGACATTATGTCTCTGATGCTCAGACTTTAGATTTTACCATCCAACCCAAATTTTATAACTAGATAGAAGATACAAGCCTAGTGACAGAGACCAAGAACAACTCTTTCCCTTTGTGTACCAATTCCAGGATTTTTACAGAAACTCTGACATAGTGTCTCTTTCCAGAAGCCTGCAAGGTTCTAGTTTTTGAAGGCATCCTTCAGTAAGGAAATGTTCATTCAGTCTGTTGCTTGGTACACAAATTTCTTGCATACATTATGTGTTAAAGACTGAAAGGACAAACTCTGGTACACCAGCAGTGGTTATAAAGCAGTACACTCAGTACACGTGTCATATACTAGTTCTCAAACCCAAACCCCTCATGTCAGTAGTTAAGAGGCTTCCTATTTAACTGAGCACCAATTCTGAAGTTTGCTTAGGGAGAATAAACTGGCTCAGAACAACAACCACTCATTATGCTGTGGAGTTGCACTGTTGTTTCTTTCTCTTCTGAGCTGTAGACCTTTTCTCGGAATTGTTTATCAGTCATGAAAGAGGCAGAAGGAAGAACTCCACCCCGCTCCCCAAGTTTGAAGACAAAAAACCCCAAGAGTTCCAGTTCTATCCTATGGTTCACTCATTAGCACATTAAAGGAACACTGACAGACTCTCCCAGCTGGGAGGGTAGCCCAGAAATTCCAGAAAAACACCCAATAAAATTCAAACAAAAAGGAGAGAAAAGAGTTAGAAACTGTATGACTGGATACAGCTTTTGATACGTGGCTGAAGAGATGATTAATTAGGAGGTGGCTAGTTTTTTTGTTTACATAACAGCTACATACAGGGATCAAGAAGACAATAAGTATGAAAGTGAAGCTGTACCAGGCAATCAGCCTATGCCCAAGCAGCTACAGAAGTAAATTCCTGTGCTAAAACCCCTTCTTCAGAAGTTACTTCCGCTTCTTCCTCTGTTTCAACAAGGCTGTTTCCCTCCCCAGCCTCTGCAGTCTCTCCATTCAAGGCAAAGCACTGACAGTAACAAGCAATTAGGACAGAATCAGTTTTGATTAGATACCAAAGCCATGATAACAATTTCATGTACACTGGTGAAGTGCAAGACAAAGGTTAAGAAGCAATGAGAAAATACACAGCTCTTTAACATTCAGTCTCCCAAATCCAGTGTTTCTCTGGAATACTTTGACATAGCCCAAAGGATTGAAATTACTCAAGCAGCCTCATTATTCTAGGAAATTGCATGCTACTGCATGTACAATACTTCAAGGATCACCAGATGCTCTAGCAGCTAGAACTACTTGTGTTATATTTAAATAATCTGACTTACTAGCAGAGCTCTTAAACCTATCTGAAATGCCCATAGCACGAGCCAGTGTTTCATCTTTGCAGGAAATGTAGATCAAGTTGCAACCAAATCCCCAGTGGCAAGGAACACAGTCTCTTCTCTTTACCCATTGAGCCAATCTTCATTTTCAGCTGGATCTACAAATTACTATTCAAAACCCACCAGTATTTTACCTGGCATTCTCCACTTTGTGTGTATTTTTCTTCATATTGTCAGGCGAGTCCAGTGTCACTCCAAGACTCTTCAGCTGTTTGAGTGTAGCACTAATGACACTCTCTTTATCCACCACTCTTGTGTCAGTCTCTGAAGCCACTTCTGTTGTACCATCAATATCCTGATACTTAGGACCATCATCATTAACAAATACAGATTTTACAGGCAAGTGATCTTGCTCTTCTGAGGACTTTAAGAGGTGGTTTACTTGGCCCTACAGAAAAAGGGAGCGGGGAAGAGAGCACATGACAAAAAATATGACATGTAGGACTTGTCAAAAACCTAAATCCTGGTTTATTCTTATGCAATTTCAAATACAACTTGATGGGTTAATAGCTTATTCTGACAAAGAAGGCAAATTCAGATTCAGTTCAGATGCAATCACTTAAAACTCAAGAGCAGTGTAGTCAAACCCTGGAACATCTTACATTTCAAGCTTTCTGTAAGAGTCTGTTCTGAATTTAAGCACATCATATGCTGATATTAGTCAAGATTAAAGTATCTACCCTTTAAGAGACTTGAAGGTAAAATGCTCTGTTATTTTAAAGGCCACTAATTTGGGAAGTTACCGGCTGATATCTTTGAATTACTATTTATTAGACAGTAGACAGTACCCCTTGTATGCACGAAAGAGTGAAGTACAAAATAACCACTTAAACCTTTAGAAAAAAAAAAAAAAAGAAGAACCACAACTTGGAACTTTCAGTAGAGCACAACATGTGAACTTGAAAACCACACGCAGTTTTCACTGATGCCAATACCACATCATAACTTCAGCGGTGGCTGTTTTGACTGTTGCACTCAGTGCAGAATATGAAATGTGCCTGAATTACCAGTAAGTCCTGGTAAAGCCTGTGATCCCCTGAGGGATGCCGAGGCAGCAGCGAGGCGGGTGGCTCCGAGTTCTGCTCACTTGTTACCACCACCTGGTTGCTGGCTCCCTCTGATGGTTCCTTCTGTAAAGACACGCTGACACCTTCTTCCATGGATGAGCGGCGAACAAGTGCTTGGGAGACGTTTCCATTCCTGGAAGAGGACACCAACAGAGCTAGATACTCCTTTGAAACAGAAGAAGCATAATTATCACTGCATCTACCTTATCATTTCATGAACAGAGGAGGATTAAAATCGAGTACTGGAAACAGATCCTTTTGGTTTGTCTGCTGCTTGGAGGCTTTGCTCCTTTCTGCAGTCACTTTCTTTCAAAAGTCATTTGAGGATTGAGGAAACAGTGTAACACTACAAGAGTTTTTCAAAAGACGATTTAAAAGTGGCAATGGCTTCTCTGGACTAAACTCTCTAGTCAAAACTCAATGACACTCTATGACAACCTTAAGGCAGATGAAAGGAAGGTTATTAACAATTTGAGTTCTTCTTATGTTTCAGCATTTGTATGTGCACTTGAAAGCCCTCGGGAACAAATATCTTCCATGTGCTTTGAAACATTTATTCAAAAATTGGTTTTACCAAGGTGAGTAACTGATCCTGTGGTAGTTTAAAAACTCCCCAGACACTTACAGGTACACACATGCACACTCAGTATCACGAACTGAGAACAAACACCTAGTTGAAATATTTCCCAAAATCAGATGTGAAAGAGGAGCAATAAAGGGTAAAACGGGTAAATACTCTAGAACGAGTTACAACATGATGTTCTGCATCCCCCTCAGCCAGCTGGTGTGTGCAGTGCACAAACCTTTTGAGACCAGACATATCAATGCTACCATCATCCTGACGAGATCCTTAAGCGACCCTCCTCCCCCTTCCTGTTCCTCCTGAGGAGACAAGTGTAAGATAAGGGAATTTCAGAACTCAACTGATCAATTGCCTGGGTTGAAAGAGATAAGATTTAAACCACGTGATAGACCAGATAGTCAATGTAGGTTATCAGCTACTGTTACACTAGCAATTATTCATCATTTCCAAAAAATGTTCCCCTCCTCCTCAAAGAAATCTGGGTGATGCTCTACATTCTTACTAGGATACTTATACTATTTTGCAGGTTTATGAATCCAAGTTGAAGAGAACCTTAAATGGCATCATCCTAAAATACAACATTCAGAAGACTGATTTGAATCCATCATATTTGTGGTAGCAGTATATGTTTGCAGAGAGTACTTTAATCAAGGACTATGAATGTTTAAGTTATAGTTTAATTACCAACATCTTTCTCAATATGATTATTTTAGAAACCTAATTTAACTGGAAGGGTATTCTCCCTCTTTTGGTTTTTTACACTTAGAGAATCTAAGTGCTAAAAGTGCTAAATTTCTGAGCTATTCCCTATAGAATATATGTAGAAATAGCATCCATTTAGAAAATTAAAGTTATTTTATAACTTCCAAAATCAGTTTGGGATTAGTCGTTGCACTATAAAGAATCTGAGTTTAAAAATCATTAAACTAACAGCAGTGAAGTCAGTACCTGCATTCACTACACACAAAGTAATTAGGTATAAAATCTAGAAAAATTCAGGGAACAGTCACGTAATCATAAACTCTTCATCCCAAGACCCTCAGAACTGGAAGAGTTCTGAATGCTGACAGGGAAAAGCCACTGTAAGAAAACAACTGCCTATAGCAGCATCCCCTTTTTCAGTCAGGATTTAAGGTAAGAAAAGGAATGCTGCCAGCACCGTACATGCTTTTAGAAGTTAAAGGCTTTTACCATCAGCTCCTGCTGATAGGTAGGCAAGCTAAACCTGCATGACTGATAAATGCAGACTCTAAAGGCAACTGTGTTTTGGTGAGCTGCACAATTCGATGCACAATTAAAAAAGAAAGAAGGAAAGAACACAGCTAAAGTCAGGTGACTATTTATAATTTCCGAGGATAAAAATGTTACGAAAGTAGTAACTTATGAAAGGCAGTTCAGCCTATTATGTGAACACGAGATATTTCTGGTTACTTACTGGGGAATGCTCTGATTAGTTCCTTCTTCCACCAGATGAGTACTCTCTACGAAGCTGGGAATGTCAACCACTCTTAAAGAAGAAGCAATACTTGTATTACTTGCATCTTGTTCAGCACTAATTGAAATGCTTATGTCTTCCTTGGAAATCTCTTCATCCTCTTTTTTCCCCTGGGGTATGGAATCGTCTTGTTTCTCTGAGGCTGTATTCCAAAATAAACTAGCACCTAGGACAAAAATTAAAGATTTACCCATTTAAGAAAGTCACTACTTTCTTCTGAGACGCTTTGGCTTTGTAAAGCCAAAGGAATAATTTTCTCCAATTCACGTGTTTTTTTGCCATTTAAAAAGTGATTTAGGGTTTAAATCAGCTAAGAGTTGCCAAAACATCATTCAAGTCCTAGTTTCTTCCAAAGCATACTTGACAAAAAGAAATTGTCATATTAAATCGTTTTAATGCACTGACCTTGAGCCTGTTTGAAAGTTTCCTCCAGACTAACCACAATATTTCCACGGATTTAACAGGAACCAATACATTAATATGTAACTTTACAGATACAGCTGCATAACTTGCCTAAATTAAAGCAAATACAGTCTCCTCTTCATGCATGATTTACAAACAACATCAATAATATATTTATTAGAACCCTATATGGCACAGAAGCTATTACTTTTTGAAACTGTATTAATTCAAAAAAGATGTGGATTTTTCTTTCAATAAGGCACAGTTTTAAATACAAGATCTTTCTAAAGCTATTGGACAAATAATTTTTTCAGTGACGGCAGTCACTGCCATTATAGCTCAAAGACAAAAGTAACTCCAGCCTAAACTTGCAAGTAACACCAAGAGAACTTAGCTGGCTTGTGGATCTAGGTGCACGTTTGCACAGCTTCAGCAGTTCTGCAAAACATTCCCTCCCTGGCCAAATAAATCCCAGAAACACCCAGAAAAAGCGGTGCCAGTCTATTTTAAAAGAATGCAGCGTTACCTGTGCTCACAGCAACGCTCACACTTCTCCTCATGTGCGAACGTGGTGAGGTCTGTGTTTCCATAGAAACGAGGTCCCTTTGCTTCTCAGGCTGCAGAGCATGGATTGCTGCTGCCGGCTCGGAGGAACAAGCCTGGCGAGCCTGTGCTTCCAGTAAGCGTTGGATCTGTAACGGTTATCGGGAAGTTACGATTTGCACAATTACATATAAACTATAACAGGCAAAAGTGAATTACTAAATTGGGTCCCTCTGAGATCTGGATTCAAGTCCAGGCTGCACTGCCAAAGAAGTTCTGATAACCTTCCAGTTCTCAGCAGCGCACACAGCATTAATCAAAACACCAATTTTGATGCTGGCAGAGCTAGCAAAGAAGAGGTTTAAGCACACTGGCAAAGCCAGCACCAAGACAGCTTGAGTAAAGCCTATTTGCACCACACTTGTTGGAAGTATTCCTTGTCCCTTTCATTCATACACAAAGCCTATTACCGACTTACCAGCCAAGCATTTATATGCCAACTGTCCCTATACCAACTTTGTATTAATTACTAAACTAAGCACTTAAGTGATAAAATTAAGGTTGCCCAGGAAATCTTCACTCTAAGATTTGCATCCATTCTGTCCACCCATTAGTTTGCAGCTCCAGGGAAAAATAACAGTAAAGGTTGCATTTCTGCAATAAGGAGAGGTGTGTCTCATGCACAACCCATGTTTGAGAGCTTGATTTGACACACAGGAAGTATACCAAAAACTTATTTCAGCTGTAGTTTTCTAGTTTAAGTACTGTAAACAACTTTCCGATTTGTATCATTCATCATCAGCAGCAAAATTTAAACTCTGGCTCTTCAGCCTCAAATCATACTCTGCAAAATACAGAGACAGCAATTTAATTAAGGGGCTGATACTTTGAAGAAACTTAACCTGGTAAGGTAACAGAACTCAGTGAGATTCCCGAAGTCCACTTTTCCAGCACAGCAACAAAGATCTAATGAATCCTGTCAGTCTGCTGCAGACAACTGACATCTTCAAAGCAAAAGCTCAGGGAGGTGCAGACTTGCAGGTGGACAAAGCAACAGATGAGAACATTCCGTGCTTCATCTGTATGCTTACAGTAATTTCAAAGCCTAAGCAGTAAGTTATTGTTTTTACACAGACAAACATACATGTGACAAGGCATTTATATATTTTGCATTGCAAAAGAGTGCTAAAGGGAAACTTTCATGTTATGGTAATGTGATAAAATAAACACAAAACTGAATCAGATGTGAGCCAAATAGTTTTCATTTAAGGGACACCAACGAGCAGAGCTCATCAGGACCCCTCTCCATCCCCAGACTGCAGCTGGTATGACAGCCTCCCTTGCTCCAACACGGAGAGACAACAGTTAATTTAATTCCTTTGGCAGTGGAACTATCAAATCATAATCACTAAGAGGCCAGAGGAGAAAGCTGCCATTTCCACAAACCTGAGCTTGAAGTAATTTGAGTTGTCTATCTTGCTCTGTAAGAACCCGGTATGCATCTGGAGATAATCCCATCATTCCATTATCTGATCCTGCTTTAGAAGCAGGCGTGTGCAGGCAGGGTGAGTGGGTTGCACAGAACTGCGGACTCGAGGGGCCCGCACTTGACGGCATCCTCGTTCCAGGTGATAAGCTGTTGTCCAGAGAACAGCTCCCTGCTTTCCCATGACAGCTCGGGCTTATAGGGCCGCTTGGGGCATATCCTGGATTGCAGCAAATATTTGGGCAAATGATATTTTGATGGAGCACTGCACATGGCTTCTGTTGAGCCATCTCCAACTGGATCTCCGCTCCATGTTTGGGGTTCATTTTAGCAATTCCTTGCCACGAGTTTACCGGATTATAGTGGATGGAAGCAGGACACTGACAGCTGCATCCTGGACAGCAAGGTGGCACTTGAACTGGCACCTGCAGGTCTGGTGGGTGTCTGCAGCTCTCTGGTGGGAAAGCAGAGTTGTAGAGGACTGGCTGTGTAACAGCAGGAAGCTGCTTGGAAGAGGATACCGATGTTCTCCTAACTGGAGGATCTCCCTGTTGTGTGACACTTTCGGGATTTAATACAAGTCTCTCTGATGGCTTTCTGGCGTGGTGCACAGATGTATCTGGGGAAGGCCCACTACAAGGGGTTGAAGGAGAAGACGACCCTGAACTTTTTCTTGATTGAGGGCAAGTGTTCTTACAGTGCATCTGCTGCTGTACTAGAGCTTGCTTTCCTCTGGAAGGTATTGAAGCTGGAATTTTCTGGTTTATAGGATTTGGTAATTGCCTCAAAGAGGGATCTCCCATATTAGCAGAAAAGTTCTGCCTGTCTTCAGAGTGCTGGGTGGGGTGACATGTAGATCTCAAGCAGGACTTCTTTTTAATAGGCTGATTTGGCACTGAGGGTAGACTTTTAGCATTTGAAGTCCCCATAGGCTTAGACAATTGTCCTGATTCCACGAAACTCCCATCCAAAATAAGTGACAGTTCTGGCACTGAAGGAAAAATCCTGGTAACCTGAAAGGACAATTACACAAATTTAAGATAATTTTAAAATATTATCTGATCATTACATGCAGAATTTCCTCAAAGAAAATGTTTTAATTTAAAATCAACGTATGACGATCATCAGCTCGAAATCAATTACACATTGAATACATTCCTAAAAGACTGGAGAATCCAGATACAGAAAAAGCAGCAAGCTCTCTAGGGTCATTCTTAAGGGAAAAAAATTGCTTTCATGCAGCATAACAGATATGTGTACCAAATGAATGGTCCATGTCATTTCAAAGTATGCATATTTCCCTTCTAGAAGGGAACTACGTGTCCCCTCTTGCTATTTTTAGACCCAGGAGGTTGGTACAACAGAACTTATTTAATAATCCACAACTGTCACATCCTTCTAGACCGTACAAGGGCTGTTATTTATTGTATTTGTATACACTTCAGTAAAAAAAGGACAGCAGATCTTTATTTACTTATTTACCCAAAACTACACGAGTTTGCTGTCTCTGTCGTTGCTTCCGACATCACAGCTCTTCCACTGAACAGCAGCAAGATTCCTAAAGTAGAAACTACTATCTCTGTTTCCAAATCCTAGCATATACAGGAATTAAAGTGTCTAGAATACTGGAAGAAAGGCAGGTTAACTACAGTAGGAGTTAGGCCTCTCAATTTCTTCAGTTCTGTTTTCCCCTTCCAGCACTTTGGGACAGAGGCTTTACACTTCTGGTCCCCTTACAATGAGTTCTGCTGCTCCAACTGTCACATTTGAGATGCCCAGAGCAATTATTTACTTACCTGTTGACTCACTGGGTGAGGACTTGGAATTGGTCTGGGGGATAAATCCTCATCTTCTACACCAGAGTCGTGATCGCTTGCTGACAACTTGCTGGGTGAAGAGCCCTGGAGAGGACTAAAACCAAAATAAATCAAAGTAAAAACGTTTGGTTGTCAGATTTGGCAGCAGTAACATGAAATTTCATGTTTTTCACTGTGCCATCTACAGTACAATATCAGCATCATTTTTCCAAGAAGCAGTTGCTATCCATCTTCTCCCTGGTTAGACAGGGAGTTCACACAGCAAATAGTTTTAAGATCAAACAGTGAAAGTACAAATGCTGCTTCTGGGCAAAGAGATACGAACCCTCCCTCCCCACAGCCTCACATATACACATCTTTTAAGTGACATTCTAACAGCAAAGCACTGATTTATACTAAAGATAGAAAGTGCTACAGTAAAGATTGTAACATTGTTTGAAGGAAAATAAAGGCCACCTCAGTTACAGATAAAAATTTGATGGATAAGCCAGGTTATTAAAATTGCTAAATTTCAACCTATCCAGGTCTTGGAGCTGTGAGAAGTGGGAAGAAAAAAGGAATTTTTACCAACTTAAGTAGATTTCAATTAGAGATTTGCTTCAAAGGACAGATCTCAAAAGCTTAATACAGTGAACTAAGCTTCATCAGTAAGGAAGCCTTTTTAGAAACATTGACTGTATTACAACCACCAGTACCAAGAGCAGAACTCTGAGTAGTTTCTCTCGGAATACAAGTCAACTCAACCATCTCACGTGAAAAAATATTAACTCTAGGAATAATAAAAGTGCATACACAGATTTTAATGCAACAATATGTATACATAGCTAAACTGACACATGGCACAGAAGAGGTCAGAAACCTCATCAAATAAACATTTAATTTTTGCATATAAAAGGCATCTGAAAGATTTACCTTCTGATTGGAAGTTTCTTGCAAACTCTGCTGAAGAACTCAGTTTCTGCATTTTGGTTTTCTGCACTCAACTCAAATTGGATAGGGGTCTTGTCTGAGGGTTCAACATTCTGGAAAGAAGTGTTCCATATTTGTGAAGCATGAAACATTCAGACTTTCAATCACTGAGGTACCACTCCCAAAGAAACAGTTTTAAGGACGTTTATAGGATTATTTTCTGCTTGTCCTCTACTTTCAAATTTTTCACCACTACAAGGAGGGAGGCAACTTCCCTTCCTGTTTAACGCTGTTCCCCTGCTACTCTGTGAAGTGGTTGGGCTAATTATAGCCATGAGCAGATGCTTCCTTGCTGTAACTGCTCAGACACTCCTCCACAAGCCTTCACCACTATAGGAAACAGCAAATGTTCCTATACTGCTTCACACACCAGAGCTGGGCAAGTCCTGGAGGCAACAGAAGTGAATCTCTGTTGAGAGGATGGTCATCTTCAGAAAGCTAAGCTGCACTTAGGCTAAAGGTGGAAGGCAGCCCTGAATAGGGAAATTTAATTGGAAGAACAGGGTAAACACAGCACAGGACACACACTACAGTTGCTGCTTCTTTGCCAGAGCACAGCAGCACTTATTGGGCAGATTAACAATTCAACTTCAGATTCTGAACAAGCCTAGGAAAACATGCAAGGGAATGATATTTCCTAGAATTTCCTCAAACCTTACTAGTTATGTCCCAGAGGCTGTATCATAAAATTCTTTCAAAGAGTTACTTTGCAAAAAGGTAAAATTGTTTGTACTTGATTACTGTAGTGCAACAAGAGACCTGTTGATTAGTGACCACTGAATTCCTTTTTGCATTCAACTTCAAGCAAAGCACAGTCCTCAGCTTTGCTCTCTAGAAAGCATCACCCACAGCAGCTGTTAGATGTGGCCAGTGCACACACAGCACACCAGATTAACAAATGCTACAGGAAGTCGAATCTCTGCTCATAAAGCCAAAGTCACTGGCAGGAGAGCACAACACAGCACATTTCAAAGACAGATCCTTAATGCTGTTAGAAAAGTGAGCAGTGTTGACTTTGGAAGTCATCTCTCAGTTTGAAGGACAAACTGAATTTACACTAATCACTGGGAAAAGGTAGCTTTATAGAGCTACATCATTTTCAAGCACCGTAGTTCCACTTGGGTCACATTATAAGTCAATATTTGAAGTACCATGATGCAGTAGGAAACCAAGCCACTTACTTTGAAGAGCTGTACTGTCTCATGGCAAGTTAAGATCTGAAACCCCAGTTCAGCCTGTCCACTGCAAGGAACACACTCATAAAACTCTGGTTCCTTGTGTGTCAATGAATAAAGCACAGTAAGAAACCTCCCAGATTCCGAAAACACCCTAAAATAGAAGAAAAACACGTCATTAAAAAACTTAAACATGAAGAAGGCCCTTAGATTCTCAATACAGGGAGCAAATTTTCACACAGTTTAGCAAACTGGTGAATCACAGCACTTTGAATGGTACTGAGCTATAGATGAAGCAGGTGGATTTATGATTGAAACCACATACAAGAATCAAGGAAAAGTAGAGAAATTCATCTCCTTTGTAGTTCAAACCTGTATGATCACTTAGGACTTTAAATGACTTCCTGGAAGACTTCAAGAATAGCACAGAAGAAAACATCTGTAAAAATGATACTGTGTTTAATTTTCTTTTAAGAATCTAATTGAAGATGAATTATAGAGACACTTAGTGGTTCAGTTATCCCTAAACGTCAAAAAAATTCTCAGTAGCAAAGAAATTAAAAGAAAAAATTATATTGAAGGTTTTTTTTTTCTACAAGCTGAGAACAAGGAGTAACAAGTCAGCATTTAACACAAAAGTTCAAGGACAATGACAATAATGTGTTTCCAGGAAAAGGTAGCACTACTTTCTTTTTATAGCACTTGTAAAATGCTTGTTTGTGGAATTTTTTTTTGTTTGTTTTTTCTTTAAATAATATATTTCTCTAAAGCAGTAGAAACAGGATGCTTGGAAAACGCATTTACATACAACTTCAAAATTATGCTTACAATTTAAAGAGTTAAAAATGTTTGAGGCAGATTAACCAGTTAGCCTGCAGAGGTTAATTCTGTTTGCATGGTTCATCAAATCTGTCTAATCCAGTTCCATGATGAAATCAGTGAGAGATAATGAGAGTCAAGCATCTAACTTCTCTATCTAATAATCTAATTGGGCTCTTATCTGTATTTAGATGTATTTAAGTTGTTAAGGCAAGGAAGTCTATTCTGTAAGTACACACACATTTGTTCACCAAATGTGGTTTTACTTTATAACTTAAAAACAGGTGTGGTCAAGCAGAAGAAGTGCTTATGCATAGAGCACATTTTAAAGTTTCATTTAACTGAAGTGCAGTTTTAAACTGTAAACACCTGAACTCCCTCCCAGCTTCCATGTAAATATAAACTGGCAAACATCACAAGTGAAAAGATTTAGAGAATGAGGAATGATTATCTACTAACATCATAATGAAAAAAAAACACCCCCGAATGCAAATACTATTAAAAAACCTGACTATTTAAGAGGAAGGCATAACAGGGCAGTATTAGCTGCAAAGCAATATGCTTTAATATGTTGGTCAGGTACACCCAGGGAGAAAGCCTATGTCAAGGAAAATACCCATAAGAAAAGTTCAAAACCAAAACTCCATCGCTGTTTAAAGTACTATTTCCTGCTTGCAGCTTCTTATTTAAACTAAAATGCAATGACCTTCATATTAATGTTTACCCTCTTCTGTCTTTGAGATATCAGCCCAGCTTTCCAACGATTCAGTCACAGAAAACTCTTGAGGCAGAAGCCAAAACCAGAAAGAACATTTAAAACAGACAGCCCTACCTCTGTACAACATACATATCACAGAATTCCCTCAAGTATCTTTGAACAGAGCCCATGCTGCCATGCATTTCTGTGGAATACATTTTCAGGCAGCCAATAGCTTCTGTGTTTTACCCATAAAAGTGACTTGCCTTTCTTGAATTGAAGAACTGAACAAATATCGCAAGCAACAGGCCCAGACTTGAGGACTACAGATATGAGTAACTCCACTCAGCCAACTAGAAGTAAGAAAAAATATCCAGTTAGAGCCAGTTCTGTTACCAAGCTTCCACTGTGTAATCCCTCAGATACATGTCAAATCAATGTGTATTAACATGGACAAACAGAGCACAACACTTACACTCCAACTAATGGCAGAGCGTAAGCCTTGGGATCAGACTCAAGCAGCAAAAGTAATTTCCGTGTTTGGTCCATAGTAAGGTAGCTGAAAGAAAGCAAAAGTTGGGGGTTTTTTTTAGTATTTTGGAAGGCAGTCTTTCAGAAAAAAATCCTGAAGAGGAAAAATACAAGTTTAGAAAATACTGTGAGAAAAGAAGTTTGGGAAAAAAAATAAAATAATCAAAACTGCTCTTATTCCACATTTACAGCAACTCCTCAGCTTTTCATCAAGTCCCCATGTATGAAAGAATTATCAAATATTCTAGTATTTTAGTGAATACTGGAATTAGTATTCACAACAAATCCAGAAGTGCAAGTCATGTTAAATTTGAAGAGTAACTTTCAGAGAGGCACTCAAAGTCTCTCTCCAAATAAAATGACATTCAGTTGCTTCAAATTGTTTCCCTGATCTATCCTTAGCTCATCCTACTAAATTAGTTCCCAGTCAGAATGATGATTCCCCAATACCATCTTAGAAGCACCATTAACAAAAGAAGCTTTGATTTGCATTCATCTGATTTTCATTCCCAGGACAAGTGCTGCTGTTGTTTAAAAAGCTGGATGGTGTTTATATTTATTATGTTATCTAGAGGTGTGCCTCCCCACCCCAGCAGGAAGATCCTTCTACTGAAGCCAAGAGCAAGAACTTCTACTGAACCAGTTAATGTTTTTGCTCCACCCCATTTCCTGTTTCTTCTTCACAACTTTCAGTATTTTTCCAAGACCAGAAGTTATGTTATTTTTATGCCAGCTATTTTACTAAAAAGAAAAGTACAGTTGAGGTTTCTCCTACCTACCTCCTTTAAGAAAGGCAACAAACTGCCAGGCAACTTTGACAGCTTTAGCAATACCCTTTACTCACCCACATTTACAGGTTCCTTGAACTTGTGCAATACTCATAGGGCTGTTCAAATTTCTTGCAAGGGCTGTTGGAATAATTGGGACAGACTTCACGGGGGTGTATTCCAAGGTATTTGCCACAGTAATAGAAGCCCAGCGAAAATTAAAATGTAGATTATCCAGGTTTTCTGTGAAAACAATGTGAGCTCTAATAGTGAGCAGTTTAGAAAGATCCAGTGATTCTTTACTGCACAGACTGTTCTGCAGACCCTAGAAGTAAGGAAAAAAAGAAGAGTTAAATACACTTATCTTCCTGTGATTACCACGATTCAGGATGTATTACATTAGGAACTCAAATCATTCATCATAGCTACTATTGCAACAGGTACTATACAAAAAGCCATTAATCCAGGTCTCCAAAGCTCACTGCTCTACCAAATATAATGACTAATGTAGAACACGCTTGAAAATTAGTGATGCATACCTTAGCTTTGTTTTATGATGTATTAAAAAACTTAGGGTTATTATATTTTTATATGAGCAACAGACAACTAGAAGGCTCAAGCTGATCTGTTGAAGTTTTCTTACTTGCAATCAGGAAATTTGTAATTTAACATCTGGATGTATAATCATGAGAAAATTTAGATGTGAAGCAAGCTTAATTTGTGCTATAAAATACACACTACAACAACTACAGGGAAAAATTTACAGGACTGGACAGTGGATTTAGTAGACTCTATGTCTACAGCAGAGCACAGAAATGACAGGCACAGTAACTATGGCTACTAACCTACAGAAGGCTTTACATGTTTCTTGTGAGTCACTTCCCTAGCAACACCTTATCAACAACTGCCTAAATACTGCAATTCATCCATAATAGTTTAAAAAAGAAAAAAAAAAAGCTGTTTTCTCTTGTTTAAGTAAGTTTGCTGCAATCGCTGTTTTGCTGGTTATGGTGGTTACACCAGCTGAAAAACCTTGGTCAGACAGAAAGATTTTAGTCCAAGATTAAAGACTGTGGGATCCCCAAACACCTGTGATAACTAACCGATTTCAACAGCTTTCAATACACTTTTCAATGACACTCAGGCAGCTCATTTCCCATAATTAACTACATAGTCTTGCCTCAAACATAAGCTTGTTGTGTTGGAAATCAAGCCCTGTGCATAGTCCAGCCTCCTGCCTGGAGGAGTTTACTGTTTAAGAGACCCAGCTAAGAGCTGCCAACCTTGAAAGCTGAGCCGATATCTTCAGCACTGTGCACTATAACATTATCTGAAGAAGGCCCCCAGGCACTAACTGTACATGGAATCAGAAAGTCTCCAGGAAGAGATGCAGTCGGAATTTTGCCCGATCCGCCAGCAACTTCCCGACCAGGATCAAAGCGGTCGACTGTCAGCGTTACGCCTTCCCCATCTTTAAAATAAACAAATAAAGTTAAGAGTCCAAAAGCAACAACTCAGGCTACTTAACAGCTTACTCAACCAGCCAATATTGACTGTCTACCTGATGCTTAACATTACCTTCGCTTACTGCAAGGGTCCCAAGCAGAAAACAGGAGAGCAATTTCTTTTCATTCTGCTTTGCATGGCGATAGGCAAGGCGTAAGGTTTTCTCCAGCAGAGATAACTTGGGGTTTCTGAGGAGAGACAATAAGCAAGTTTAAGTCACAAACCACCTTAACAAGAATATTTGGCTTGACTAGTCCAGCAAACCAACATCAGAAGGGAAACAATTTTTCCCATGGAGAATAAATAGCAAGGAGAGAGAAGAGCTTTTTCTTTTTTCCATGGAGAATAAGTAACAATGAGAGGGGAAAGCTTTTTCATCTGAAGGGCACTGTTGTCACAAAAACTAGAGATGAACACAAGTGAATTATTTTAATAGCACACAGGAAAAGTTAGAAACACTAAAAGCAAAACAGAGAACCTTTAAAAAGTCTCATAAGTTTAAAGAGTAGAATAGGCAAAAAAGCTTAACTAATTCTGAAGTGGTGTTAACTCATTTTAGCACTATATTTACTGTGGATGCTTAAAGCAGCAGCACACTGGGCCCAGTGACACAGGAATGCAAGTATGGAGAAAGGTTAGGTAATTATAAAACCCCTATTTGGTAAAAACTGTAGTAAATTGGAATCTAGGGCAGTAAATACATCAATGTTATTTTAGCTTGAGAGAGCTTATCTGATTTTGGCCTGAAAAGCAGTCAAAGTTGAAAATGAAGCTACTGGTTTATGTAAATATGGTAATGGTGCCTCATATCCTACCTGCTCAAGATTAAGAGAAGTGCCTCCATAAAAGTAATTTATTTTAAACTTTGTTAAAATGTTGAGGTTTTAATATTAACTCAAAGAAGACTGTGTGGCAAATTCAAGTGGAGGCCCCTTACGTAAGGGCTACCCACCACAAATATCCACATACTTGCTCTAATAACTACAGCAAGATTTTTGTAGCACCTACAGAAAAATCACCCATATAAGTAATAATCATTAAATTTTACCCTCCATTTGTTTTTCAAGTCAGATTTGGAATATCCTGCCCTAGAAATTCCAAAGTGCTTCAGATTTGCCCCTAGACCAATTCTAAGCAAACAATAAGAACCAAAACATAGGAACTTTTAATACTTTAATCCAGATTACTGAAGCAAGTCAAATGTTTAGCTGTAAGTTTTACCTGAGACACACCATCTGCATCCCATTTGTAAAAAAAACCATGTTTTTCTCTGTATATATTTAGAGACAAGGAAAAACATGTTGAAGAAAGCTACAAACATGCAGCTACTTGAGAAAACTGAAAGAAACTAAGTTACTTTAGACTGAGACCCCTCCAACCCCACTTGACTGTGCTACCCCACGGAAAGGGAAACTCAAATCTTTCCAATAAAAATCCCTATATGCTTATAACATAAGTCCTTGTGCCTTGTCATACAACAGCATTAAAAATTCAAAAGGAGGCTTTGAATCACACAATTCATAATTTATTTTAACCTTCAGCTTCACAAAGAGGGTTATTGATACCTGTAGTAGGTAACATGTGCGCCAATGACATCGCCCATGGGGACTGGGTCCCAAAGTGCACACTTGGACAGAGGGAAGCTGAAAGGGACCATCCTTTCGGGAACAAATCTGGGAAGAAGATCACAGAGATTAAAAATGGACAAAGGTACATCATTATTTTATTATGTTTAAAAGAAGGAACAAAAGTGTGACACAGCAAAAACAAGAAATAGGATACGTAAGCTGTTGGTTTTTTTTTTTTTGTTTCAAGTCCAGCTCAACAAAGCAGAAAGTTTGTCCTACGAAGTTGTCAGAGTTACAAAGTCAACACAAAGCTTTTATTTTCCGCCTGACAGTTTCTTCATGCAGACGAGAAGTCAAAATACAAGTTTCCAGATAAAGCCCAAGAGAAAGCTGCTCTGGATAGAGTTTATAGAAGAAGAGAGTTATCAGTAATTAGGAACTCCCATAGCACACAGAAAAGCTTGATTTAGCAATTTAACATGAGTGCAGCCTCCCAAAACCGTATTTTAGTCACTTTATTTAAAGCAAGCACACAATCCACTTAAGCTTTGAAGGCCTCTGAAATAAAGCTTTGGCTTAACTCAAATAATATAGTGCAAAACTTGCCATCAGACTTCAAAGAGCCCTGAAGAAATTAGTATGTAACTACGTTAAATTATTTACACGAGCAGATTTTTTTTGAGTTTTGTAAACCAACTATATCAAGTAAAATACAAAACAACTGACAGCCCACATCACTTGGCAAATGCCTCAACACCTTTTAACAAATAAGCGAGAAGTTTATTTTGTAGTTATTTGAAGCGCGAAACTTTGCCAAGAAAAGGTGCTTCCTTTGCGTTTCCTCACGCTACCAGGAAAGGACTTTATTTTTAAGGCAGTCCTTTAAGGAACTCATCTACCTCTCACGTTTCTAGCGGCACTTAAGTGATTCCCGTTATAAGTCAAAAATAAAACAAGTCAAATAAGCCAAACCAAAACAACCCCCAAATTTAAGTTTGCAAAAGGGGAGACTCCTTTAAAGACCCGGTTTCCACTAGTTGTTGGCAAGCACGAAGCAGAACCCCTCCCTCCCGTAGCTCTTTATACCCAGAGGGGCACTCGCAGAGGGGCCGGGGGCGATGCGGGCTCACCCGGCGCAGAGCGGGTACCTCAGATCCAGGTCGCGCCGAATGGGGGGTCGGAGCAAGGCTGCAGCTCTGCCCACCCTCCTCCTCCTCCTGTGCCCGCTGCAGCCCGTGGGGCAGCGGCGGGGCCCTGCGGGAGGAGAAGGGCCGGTGACACCGTCCCCGCAGAGACCGGTGAAGAAACCCCAATCCCACCGCGGTCCCGCCGGTCCCGTCCGCTCCGGCGCCTTCTGCGGCCTCCGCCCGTCCCCCGCCCCCCCGCGGACCAATCAGAGCGCGCGACCCGCCCCCTCCACCCGCTCCGGACCAATCGGCGCGCGGCGGGCGGACCGCCCGCTCGGCCAATCCGAGCGCGCCCCGGGCAAACCAACCGCCAGCGCGCGCGCAGGGGGTTTAAAAATGCCCTTAGCGGGGCGGGCAGCGCGCAGGCGCAGTGCGGCGGCGCGGAGGCGTTGCCATGGCAGCGCGGGGTGCTGCCGGGTCCTTCCCAGACCGGCTGTGGCGGGCGAACCGAGAACCGGCACCGCCGGGGCGGGCGAGCCGTGAGCCGGCACTCCCAATCCTGCTGCAGCGCCGCTCCGGCTTTGCCCGTTCCCAGCCGTTGTGCCGGTCCGTGAGCCCCGGCGGCGCCCACGTGTCCGCCCCGCCCCGCCCAGGACCCGGAAGCACTTTCCTGCCGCGGGGACAGCGCGGCGGTGGCTCCGCCACAGCCACAGCCCCGGTCACGGCCCCGGCCCCCGCCCCCGCCGCTCCCCGCCCGCCGCACGGCCGCCGCACGGCCGCCGCCCCGCCGCCGCTGTCCTGCTGCTGCTCCGCCGCCGCCTCCTTCTCCTCATGAAGCCCGTCGTCGTCTTCGTCCTCGGCGGGCCCGGAGCGGGCAAGGGGACGCAGTGCGCTCGCATCGTGGAGGTGAGACGGGGCACCGGTGGGGGCTCTGCGGGGCGGCCCCGGGGGGCTCTGGGAGGTGTCGGATCCCCCGCAGTGGGGTCCGTGACCCTCCTTGCGGGGATCGCTTGGGGCAGCGTGTCCTCCCCCGTACCTGCCCTGCGGTCTGGTCTCTTATGGAGCTGTCGTCCATCCCCCGCCCCTTGGAGGCAATAAATAAACATAACTGACCTACATCTCCCCGTTAGCGGGTGAAGTGGTGGGGCAGCCCCCACTCCTGCCCCTATCAGGCCGCCTAGACTTTATCCCTTCTCCTGCCTTTTCCCTCAGCCCCGCGGGATCCCACTCCGCCAGTGGGTCTGCCTGCGCTGGCATCTGACTTGGGGACACCCATTTGGGGTTTTTGCATCCACTTTGGGGACACCCGCTTAGGGTCTGGAGGCTGCCCCGCTGTGCCTTGGTGGAAGGGCGGGACAGAGGCCCTGGAGACATTCCCGGCTGCCCGGGGGGTGCTGCCTTGCCAGGCCGGTCCTGCAGCCCATCCCGGGTCAGTGGCTCTGTTACACGTTGGCACGGCCACGTAGGTGGCTCAGATGCTTAGACTGCCGGTGTCGTGGCCTGGAAGTGGATCTGAGGTGTCCCACGGCGATTGGGAACACGTTGGCTTCACATGTGTGGGATCAAGGTCCGTGTCTTCTGAAGCCCGTCCCATAAATGTAACAGCTGGCACAGCAGGCATTGCAGGGTGTTGGCTTTCTGGTTCGGTGCCATCTCAGTAAGTTGTAGAACTAAAATGTTAAAAATAGAATGAAAATTTGGTTCTGTGACAGAGTACAGTAGAGGTCAAGGAATGTCCTGATCCCATAGATCTCGTTCCTGCTTTTCAAAGAGACTAAAACTGGCAGCATAATTTGACAAAGCTTTCGGTTATATTATCAGATTTTCAGTTTTCCAAATACATTTTTACAGCGCTCTGAGACAGAACAAGTATCTAAGAAGGATCGGTGAATGCTGCATGGTGTAGTGCTGCCCTTTTAAAAACCAAAAACCACAGGGATAATTATACTGTATTCAGGTGGATAATTACGGAAGTAGTTAAGGCAGAACGCTTCCAAACATGTGTGTATGTTGGATTTGAAACAGCTCTTTGATTTTTTTTTCCATTTTTTTTTTCTGAGCAGTTGTATGTATTTTTACTGATTAAAAGCCATGTAGGATCAAAGCTTATCCATACCCTCACTGAAAGAAATGTCTAAGAACTGTGGTGATGCCCTTGTTCCTGAAACGGTTGGTGGGAAAGAATCCCAGAACTCCTGGAATGGACACGCTGTGTGTGTTGTCTGTTCTGGTGGTGCCCTGGCAGTGCTGTTACAGTTTATCCACGCTGCTGTTATATCCCAGACCTCAGTATTGTATAACTGAGTTACGTGAATTTGGTCCAGACTGAAAAATGCCGTTATGACTTTAGTTCTGTAGGATTTCAACCTCAAATTACAGACTCGCATTCAAACCAGCATATTCATTAAATTAAATTGTGGAATGAAAGGTTCGTGGTGCTCATAAAGCCTTTTTGGTAAGGTCAAATTCAGCCTCTGGCATGCAGCAAACAAATGAGCTTAAACTATAGGGGAATCTTGTAGGCTGTCATTAATGGCTTTCACCAAACCATTAGTGTAGCCTCAGGGCTGAAGTACCTTGTGTGTGGCTGCTGGCCTCTGTTTAGAAGTATAAATGCCTTTGGCTGGATAGGCTGATATAATTGGATAAAGACCACTTTATTAGGAGGAGTTCAAATGAGCCATTGCTGCTCAAATTGTATTTGCAGCTAGAAAGGGAAGCTGGAAAAGAAAAATTTTGCTTGTACTGTATTTATTTTCTTCTCTTCTCTAAGCCTGGAAAGGGAAATCCAAATTATAATGGTGCAAATTCGCTGTAGTTCTGCTAATCCTGTTCACTACATGGAAAGAAGTTTATGGAAGTCAGTGGGCTGGCAGTGGAAAGCACTCGGACCTGTTGACTCCCATAGAAGGCCTTCCTGCTTGCTCAGATAGCTCCGTGGGAGTCACTGGCTAAAACCTGGGGGAGAGAAGGTCTGAGGTAGCTCGAGGGAGAGTTGGACTGATGCAAAGCTGCTGGAAAACTTAGGAAAAGCGGACAGGAGCAGGGAAGTGTGGGTGAAACACAGCTGAAGTACTGAAGAGCAGTGGCTTTTTTAAGCACAAATCCTCGGCCTGGCCCCTGGCAGCCCCCAGAGAGCCCTGGTGCAGGCGGGCAAAGGGACCTAACGTAGTCAGTGCTGTATTTAGGTTGAAAGTGTGTTTTTATTTGCATTTTAAACCCTGTTGGCAGCTTGCCACAGAGAAAAGGGCCTGTAGCTGAGTCATAATAAACCTCATTCATCCTTGTTGTAAATGGACTGAATAATATCAGTTTACATTTGGAATGAATCTGACCCAGTATCTTGCTCTAAATCTGAAGGTTGTGCTGAACAAAAAGTCAGTATGAGCTATAAATATGTCTTGGTTGCTATTCATACTGGAGATCTGGGACAGAGCACATCACATGTGGAAGAAGTCTCATTTGGCTGAGGTGAGATCCTGTATTATTTTAACATCAAACTATTTTTATTAAAAACCAAGGGTGTCTGTGTTTTGTAAAGGTGTTACGTTACTTAGTACCTTGGAATGATTTCTCAAAGAAGCATTGTAATTGTTTTGCTGACTACGCTTTACGTTCCCAAAAAAGGGAGATGGGCATCCCGTGTTGTAGGTGAAATATGTATTTGTTAAGTACTAGCCTAAATCATGACTGCTCAGTATGTGTGTGTGCTGAAATCCCTGATTCTAGAGAAGGCATGTATTCATGCCAAACTTGGACCCCAATGGAGAAATGATTTGAGGGAAGAAGACATAATAACAAGCGGAAATGGGTATTGACACAGTGTAGGGAAGGGAACAGCAGGTAAGTGATTAGGATTCTTTATCTCCACAGATAAGGTTGGGTGAGACAGCTGAGCCAGGCTGGCTTTCCCTGACACAGAGGGAAGACTTGACTCTTGTACGTTCCACGAATGCACAGAATTGTCAGGGAAATGCAAATGCAGCAGAACTGCTGCTCCTCTGGAGCAGTTATTCCTATTTAGATAGGGATAAAGCAGAATTCCCTCTTAAGTTCTTATCCTCTCCCTTCCAGCTCTGCAGATTAACTCCTGAAACCTTCCACAGCTCTGTTAGGTGGAGCTTGGCATCATCTGGGACTGTCGTGTAGCTGTCGTGTGAGGCAGAATATTTGAGCGTGTAGTTGAGTGATGTCATTTGAATGCAGGTTCTTGCAATAACCTTCGTGCTTTCTACAGTGTATTTTCTGTGACTGTGAGATAATTATGTGTGCATAGGACAAAATGAATGATTCTTATCGCTGACTTCTGAACTTTGCTTATGAAATCACGGTGGTAAAGTCAAGGGGAAAAAAATACGTTTGTCAAATCTGCACAAAATACAGTACTTGAATTTTAAATCCTTACAGCCTTTGCCTGAGATACAAAGCTCTTTGGTTGGTGCAAAGAATAATAACTAAAGCATTTGTTGTTATTTCAAGCAAGATTTGACTTGTATGTTTTGTCTTTGTTTTAGCAAGGTGATCTGTAGGGATTTGGGGTATGCAAGACATCCCTTTAAAAGTGCCTAAAATATAATTCACCTCCACCACAACCCTAGACTGTATATTTGTGGTTAAATCTAAATTAATTCCGCAGGGTGGGATGCTGAGCCTTCTCCTTTTATAAGAGCATAAGTTAATATTCAAATAGAAAAAGCTGTTAAGTTGCTTTGGATATATGATAAGAAGATTTCCTAGGGTGAAGGAAACAATGCAAAGAACAACTCACTGTATCAGAAACACTCCTCTGAAAGTAGCAGAGGATTTAGGTTTTGCTGTCATGTAAATTGTCTTCTGGAAGTCTGCTGAGAGACAGCATTAACTTCCTTGAAATAAAAACTTTTTTTTAATTGTTTGCTTTAAACTCAACTTCTGCAAGCTCTTTCATGAGTGTCCGATATTAGTATTCTTCTTAGCCTTTAGTTCTCATAGTTGTTTTTTGGAATAGGAATTTATATTTCTGAACTTTGGAGCTTTTTTTCTATTTTTTTTTAAATATGGTGAGTGATAATTTAAATCTTCCCCCTGAAGATTTATCCCTGTATGCTTCCAT